GGACTTGGGGAAAGGTCACAGGGCTGCATGTGGACACCGTAGCCAGCAAATGATAATCACAGCCATGAAGACACATGCAGTTTCTAAGAAGTACAGGCAAAAGGCCCAAGTACTAAGCCCATAACCATATGGAAATATTCAGGGGTCCACTAGTTGAGCAATTTAAAGGATGCGAAGAACAGCCAGTGAGGAAGGAAGGAAACCGGGGCTATGTGCTATTCTGGAGGCCAAAGGAAGAAACTGTTGCCAGGAAGAGAGAGTAATCACCTAGACCCAGAACTACTGATGGTCTGACCAATGAGGACTAAGACTTGAACAATGATTTTTACAAAGCAGACATCCCCAGGGACCTTAACAGTTTTGCAGGTGGTCAGGGCCAGAAGCCGAACTGGAGTGGGCTCGAGATACAATGGGAGCAGAGGAAGTAGATAGCTGGGATTGCACACAACTCTCTTGAGAAGTTTCGCTATATAAAGGGAAGAAGGAAGCAGGTTTGCTCTGTGGGTCACTTCAACCGTTCAGGAGCTTTGGGAGAAGCGCTCTTCAGGTGGTTTTAATTTTCCTATAGAACCAGGGAACCATGACCACTCTGTCTCCTGGTTCACCCTAACTACAATTGTTTTCTTCTCTCACCCTTCCATGTCCTCCCAGGTTTACCAGTTTTTCAGCTGCCTCCCAGAGGATAAGGTCCCCTATGTCAACAGTCCTGGGGAGAAATACAGAATAAAGCAGCTGCTGCACCAGCTGCCCCCACATGACAGCGAGGTGAGGAGTGGAGAAGACAGGATGGACATACCAGGAGTGGGGTACAGCCTGGACAGATTTGGGGCAACTGGAAAGAAATGGGCAGGTCAGCTAAGAAAAGGTGAGCTGAGCTGAAATGAAAGGCCTCAGAAAGCAGGAGTCAGAAGGGCCATTCCTTGACTAAATGTAGCTGAGCCTTGAGGTAAGGAATGGGTATTTCCAGTAGGTGGCACCATATATATGTATATGTGTGTGTATATGTACATACATACATACATGCCTAGAAGTAAACTCCGTGAGCATGGACCAAGTCTAGTAAACTCCTCCTCTCCCCAGGCACAGTATTGTACGGCCCTGGAAGAGGAGGAGAAGAAAGAGTTGCGAGCCTTCAGCCAGCAGCGAAAGCGGGAGAATCTGGGACGGGGCACCGTTCGAATCTTTCCAGTGACCATTAATGGGGCTATCTGCGAGGAGGTGAGCTACAGAGGACCTCAGCAAGCGGAGGCCCTAAGGCCTACTACTTAACACCCAGTGGGGGTGTCTCTGGAGCCCTCTGATGAATAGAGCTTCTCCCTTAGATACCACTGTTGGGTCCAAGTTGTCTCTAAGAAGGCCTTGATATATATTTCTGTAGCTTCCTCTCCTCCATGCAGAAGGCGTGGAGGAGGGACTGTCTTTTTGGTCTTCTTGTGATCGGGACTTCTTAATTAAGATCTGACCCACATAGCTGGGCATGGGGGCTCACATCTGTAATCTCGACATTTGGGAAGCTGTGGCAGGATTGTTGTAAATTCAAGGGCAGCCAGGGTACATAGTAAGACCCCCGTCTCAAAGCAAAGAACTGACTTACAAGCCCATCCCCAGCAACACAAATTAATAACAGCAATAAATAATAAACTGATGTGTAGGGGTGGAGCCCGAGTCCTGAGATAGAGCCCTCCACAGTAGGTGGGGTTTGTCTCCAAGGCCATCCCTGGTAGGAGGAAACCTGTCCTTTTGCTAAAGTCCATTGCATTGACTGAGACCTCTGGGTGGAGACTGTGTCTATAACACCTCCTCTGGACCCAGCTTAAGATTTCCCCCAGCCCCTAGAGGACAGCTTGTCTGCCTGTAAGGCCACCCATGATAGCTAAGGTCCTCTCCTTATGGCTTTCCCACGAGCAAAGTCAGTCTCTTATGTGTCCTTCTCCTCCCTGCGAGTGAGAACTATCTCAAATTTATCCCATAGGTGGTGCTAGTTACTGGAAAATCAGGAGTTCAAGGCCAGCCACAGCTGTGTATTAAATTCAGAGCCAACCTAGGCTACATGCGATCTTGTCATTAGAAAAAAAAATCATGCAAAGGTTCAAGTTGTCACACGTTTGGCTGACCCCATCCGTCTGACTATCTTGGTGACTGTGATGGTGTCTGTTATTTGGCAGTGTGGAAAGCAGATCGGAGGCGGCGACATTGCAGTATTTGCCAGTCGAGCAGGCCTTGGTGCCTGTTGGCACCCTCAGTGCTTCGTGTGCACCACCTGCCAGGAGCTGCTGGTTGATCTCATCTACTTCTATCATGCTGGCAAGGTCTACTGTGGGCGCCACCATGCCGAATGCCTGCGCCCTCGCTGCCAAGCGTGTGATGAGGTTCGTGCCTCCGTGGGCCAGAGGTGGGAATGGAGGGTGGATGAAGGCAGAAGCCGCTCTTCTAACAGCCCCAGGTGCCCTATGCACCTCTGCAGATCATCTTCTCCCCTGAATGTACGGAGGCCGAGGGCCGGCACTGGCACATGGGTCACTTCTGCTGCTTCGAGTGCGAAGCTTCGTTAGGAGGGCAGCGCTATGTCATGCGTCAGAGCCGCCCCCACTGCTGCGCCTGCTATGAGGCCCGCCACGCGGAGTACTGTGATGGCTGCGGGGAGCACATCGGTGGGTGAACATGATGGGACAGCACAGGGGAGTGTATGAACAGCAAGGCTGTGGCCCGGTCACCATTCCTATCTCCCTCCTTCTCTTCCCTCCTACCCTCCTGCCCTCCCTTCCCTTCCTTTGGTGTTGGAGATGGGACTCAGACATGCTCAACAGATTTCTCTGCCACTGAGCTATGTTCCCCCAACCATGTCTTCTAAATCCCACCTACACATCAGTCGCCCGCTGCACACCTAAATACACCTGCAGTGAATCCTGAGTGTACTGCTCAGAGCTCCGCTCCATTCTTTCCCACTCTCTACCCTCACCCAACCTGAAGTCCTATGTTCTACAACTGGCTTTCTCGGCAAATCCATGTCTCGCCCAAGTCCTGCCTCCACCAAGCAGGCCTCTTTTCAGGTCCTGCCTTCCATTTGCCTTCTACCTGAAGCTGCCTGGCACCTGTGATGCCCGCATATTAGAGCTCAGTGCCCATCTGTGCTCTTTAAATGAGCTTCCTAGGAAAGAAAGAGGAGACGGTACCATTGCCAGCCCCTGTCCAAGAGATAAGCAAGATGAGGGCCAAATCTCACATTATCTGCCTTCTCCAGCGAAAGGGCCCCTTCCAGGTGTGGGAAGGAAAATCAGGGTACCCTACCTCAAATCCCCCACCTCTTTCTAAGAGCCCGCTTAAGAGGGGTAGCCCACGGGTGCTGTCTCAGTTTTGTCCCTCATGTTGGGTCCCACAGGCCTGGACCAGGGTCAGATGGCTTATGAGGGCCAGCACTGGCACGCTTCAGATCGTTGCTTCTGCTGTAGCTGGTGCGGTCGAGCCCTGCTGGGACGCCCTTTCCTGCCACGCCGTGGCCTAATCTTCTGTTCACGAGCCTGCAGCCTCGGGGCTGAGACCACCGCTCCCGGGCCTGGCCGCCGCAGCTGGAGCGCCAGCACAGTCACCGCACCGCTCACAGCTTCTGCGGCTTCTTTCCCGGCTGCGGAGGGGACAGCGGAGACGACAAGCAAGGGCACCTGTACCAAGGCCGAGCCTGGTGAGCCCTGATTCTGCCCTGCCTTACCTGGGCTGCCCAGCCTTGCCCTGAAGCATTCTTGCTCCCAAATAGTTGGGTCCACCCTCTTTCTCCGTGCCATTTCAGGCCTAATCTCTAGCCCTAACTCTACCTATCTGTTGACTAGCCTGGGTCCGCCCAGCACCTGCCCATAGGACGCCTCAACTGGTCCCATCTTGAGCTCAAGTACTTCCCTCACTTCCTCCAACTGGTCACCCTCCATCCTCTGCACCCAGGCTTCCCCCCATTCCATCCCAAACCAAATCTACTCCAGCCTTTGATATGTCCCCTTCTGGCCAATCCACCCATTCGCGGACCACAACCCAAACACCAAACCTTCCGACTCATGCTGACTTACTTCCTACCCTCCTCTCCACCTAAAGCCTGCACCAACAGTCAAGACTTTGGAGTATCCCATCCCTGACCCCTGCTCCACTTCCCAGTCCGGGTAGCAGATACCACAAGTCTTCCATATTTCTTTTTATAGCTGCAAGCCCCAATGAACCCTCCCGCTTTCTGAGAGGGGCCCCGCACCGCCACTCTATGCCTGAGCTGGGACTCCGCAGTGCTCCTGAGCCACCTACTGAACCCCCTGGACATCCTGCCTTGCACCCAGATGATAATGCCTTTGGCCGCCAAAGTACCCCGCGTGTCAGCTTTCGAGACCCTTTGGTGTCTGAGGGAGGGCCCCGACGGACCCTGAGTGCACCTCCAGCCCAACGCCGAAGGCCGCGAAGTCCCCCACCCAGGGCCCCCAGCTGCCGCCACCGCCGACGTAGGCGCCGACGCCGCGGGAGCCACCATCACCACCACCATCCTGGCAGACATGGCCACCATCGATGTAACATGGGATCGGGTTCGGATTCAGGATCCTGTTCCAGCTCACCCTCTAGCCCCAGTTCAGAGTCCTCTGAAGATGATGGCTTCTTCCTAGGGGAACGTATCCCCCTGCCCCCTCACCTGTGCAGGTCCAGGACCACTCAGGACACTGCAACTGAAACCTTTAACTCCCCAGCCCCGCCACTCGTCCAGGTGTCTCACCCAGTGACGCCTCGCCAGACCCGAGACAAGAACTGCATCGTGGCTTGAAGGCAGACAGCTTAAGGGACTCTACTACCCAGTCAGTGTACACCATGAGTCCCCTGAACTAAGTCTTGGCCCAGTTTCCACCCTCTGTTTGTATTAGTGAAACAATGTAATAGTTGTTTGTTTTAAAAACAACAGGCTTGACTTCTTTGCTCCAATGGCTTCACCGCAGTTTCCCTCTTCCTGATGCTAACATACATTTGAGGAAAAAATTAACTTATTCATTATAGATTTTAACAATCTTTTATTATTTATTTAGCCCTTCACAGCTCACCCCACACAGAGAAAAGGTTATTTGTAGTGGGTCACTCATTTTGTGGCTTATGTGGGGGAATGGTTCAGCTGCTGGTACTGCAGAGCAAAGGGGGACCTAGGCATACCCAAAAAGGTGACCACACCCAAGAAGGTTGATTGGCAGGCTGGAAGACAACACTCTCCCAACAAAGGCACTTTTCCAGGGGATATAGCTCAGCGGAGAATGCTTGCCTAGTATGCAGTTGGCTCTAGGTTCAATCTCCTGTACCATAAGCACTTCAGTGGGGTCAGAGGATTGGCTGGGAGTGTTGTGGAAACAGGAGGAGGTATTTTTTTTTTTTGAAACAAGGTCTCACTGCGTAGCCCTGGCTGACCTCAATCTCACAGAGATCCATGCATCTCTGCCTCCTGAGTGCTTGGATTAAAGGCATGCGCCACCGGACCCAGCAAGAGGAAGTTTTCGGTGGAGGAGCTATTTGCAGGTAGCAGAGACAGATAGATGAGGGTCACGGGCCATCTGTGGGGTCTGCAAAATGAAGAAAGCACTGGTAGATCCATGTGCCCATTTTTACCAAGAGCAATGCTGACACATTTATGGTGCCCACAGGCACAAAAGTCCTAAGTATAAATACAGGACAGATTTGGCATTCATACCCTTCGCTAGAAGGTCCTTTCCCTTTTTTTGTTTTCCCTTTTTCTTCCTTTTTCCCTTTTAAATTTTTGAGACAGGGTCTCACTATGTAGCTCTGGCTGTTCTGGAACTCACTATGTAAACCAGGCTGGCCTCAACTCACAGAGATCCACTTGCCTCTGCCTCCAGAATGCTGGGATTAAAGGTATTTGTCACCCAGCCCCCCCCCCACGTCCCCCCTATTCAGCATGCACACACATACAAGCATGCACATACACACATATATATTCTCTCTCCCTCTCTTACCAGTAGGGGCTGCTGTATGTCTTTGCTGCTTGAGAGGGAAGGTGAAGTAGGCATCACAGCCAAAGAGCAATGTAGCAAATATGCCCAGCACCTGATAAGACGGGAGTGAGGGGACTGGATTAGAGGATGTACCTACTCAATCTCTGCATCCTGTATCCACCTCCAGGGACTAGCCCACATAGTACAGTGACTCCAGCCCTACGCTAGGAAACCAGGGACCATCAGGGAAAGGCCCCCAGGAGTCTGAATACTTACTACCCCACCGTCTCCCCAGTTACCTCAGCACAGGACAGCCACCCCCATTGATTCATATGAAGAAGGCCTGTGTCATACTACATTTGAGACAAAGTTCTAGTAGATGGTAGCCTAACATATTGACAAAGGGGCTCCCATTTTGTGCTTCTCACAAAGGTCTCTGTGTCAGACAAGGGTCAGTGTTTTATGGCAAATGATCTTAGTAGATAAAAATCACTGCTGGGGCCAGACTTTGCCACAAGTCCTGAGAGCAACTTTGGCCTGGTGTGGTGGCTCACACCCTCCTGCAAAAGCCCCTAGATCCTCAAACGCTTCTTTCTGTGCTTTGGATCTACTTCTTGGACCCTTACCCCAGCGGCGATTCTCGAGCCTCCCTTTCCATCTACAAGGACAACAATGGAGGTGATCAGGTAGAGGATAGCTGCGACAAGGGATCGGAAAAAGTCCTGTGGAGTGGATGGAGGAAAAAAAGTCATTTCGGCACCCAGCGGTCTTCAGACCATTCCAACTTCCCAACCCCCAGCCACCCTCTGCAATGCTGGCCCCTTCCTCACAGTCCATGGCCAGTTGATGAATGATATCTTGGAGTGCAGGTCACACATGTAGAAGACAAATAAGACAGCAGCAAAGATCATCTCCACCACCGACAGGGAGGAGTATGCGGATGTAGAAGCGCTGAAGCAAATCAAAATCACCAGGCACAGTACCTGAGAGGGGGCCAGGGGACCTCAGTCAGTCGCGGGTTAAAAGCAACGGTTTAAATTACAAAAGGGGGATCTCAAAAACTCAAATGTTTATCAGAAAAAAAGGGGGGGAGGAAATCCACTTCCCAAGACTGGCAAAGTAGCTCTGTGGCCCAGCTTTTGCCTAACGTGTGGGAGGCCCTAGGTTCTGCACACTCAGCAGAGAGAGTTGGGGGTGGGGAGGAAAGAAAAAAAATTCAGTTTCTCAAACAAGTACCAGGAGTGAGAAAATGACTGCTAGACACCTCTCGCACGTGCTCGCTGTTCTCCAAGCATCGTCCAAGAGTTTTACATGTCTTATTTCATCACAACCATCAAAGGAGATAGGTTCTATTCTATTTTACACATGAGAAATTTGAGTCACAGAGAGGTTAAGTGGCTTGGCCAGGGTCACCAAGTAAGAAAGGAGCAGAATTATGTGCTTCGGTTCCCCTTTCCCTGAGGGGAGTGGCTCTGCCAGGTGTTTTGTGAGCGCTGGTGGCGCCAGCGTCCATGCCTTTAGGGGAGGGACGTGCGGTTCCCCAGGCAACCCCTTTGGGAAGGGGTGAGACTGACACTAGAAGGGCAGGGCTCCGTTAAAGGCGCCGCACCAATTTTATAAGTGACCCAAAGGCAGTGTCCACTTGGAGAGGGATGGAAAACCAAAGTTCCCTATAACCATCCAAAGAGCTAAGGACCTCCCATCCAGTCCCAAACTGGCAAGGGAGAACTGGCGAAGGGTGGAGCGCCCTACCCTAGGGGACGAGTTCTACCCCACCCCAACAGGCCCCGCCTTTGGGCACGTTGCCAGCCCGCCAGCTAGTGCCCAGGCCGGCCACGCCCTGCCACGAGAGGCTCCCACTCCCCAGAACCCCTTCTCCGCGTCCTCTATGAGTCTACGCCCCCGACACCGAGTCCCCAACATAAGTTATAGACTCTTCGCTTCACCAGCGCACCACCAGCTCTCTACTTCGCCCATGCCCCACCGATCCCCGCACCCTGGCTTCGATCCTCCTCCACGAACTCACCCACCTGCACCCCACTGCCAACCAGCCTAGCCACGTGCCTGCCTCAACCCGAGCAGTCCAGTACCGAGCGGTCCTGCCTGCACACCCGGCCTCTGCCCACCCTCCGGCCCCGGAGCACTCACAATCTCGGCAAACAGGAAAAGTCCCTTTTTGGTACGCGAGAAGCTGGTGCAGGCTAACCAGCAGCCAGGGGCTGAGAGGCGCTCAGAGTCCGCCATGGTGTGTGCTGGAGTCGCTGGGACACAGAAGCTGTTTTCTGGCTCACGAGTTCGAAGTCGCTGCACGCCCAGCCGTTTGTCCCGCCGTCTGGCCGGGAAGGGGGCCCCCGGGCAAAGGAGGGAATGAATCACCGCGCCTAGCTGAAGCGGGCGGGGCCGGAGGAGGCCGGGCCAGGTGGCTGCCGCCCCGGAAGCCCCCTTTGCCCTGCGGCCAAAGACGTTAGGGTACGGGTCCTGCACACACCCGCATCTTCAAGTTGTCAGGCAGCTCCAGGTACCAGGTGCAAGAATACAGAGACCCTTAACTTTAGAAAAAAAATGCAAAAGCGCTACGTTCCACTCCAAACCGAGCGAATCTGACTTCCTACATTTGATCTTAGCCAAAAAGCCAAGAAGCGAGTAAGTGACTCCGTTTCCTTAGCTCAAAAAAAAAAAAAAAAATGGGGCTGGAGAGATGGCTCAGAGGTTAAAAGAACTGACTGCTGTTCTGAAGGTCCTGAGTTCAATTCCCAGCAACCACATGATGGCTCACACCCATCTATAATTAGATCTGGTGCCAAGAACACTATATACATAATAAATAAATTTAAAAAAAAATGGCCAAGGCCCTGTTTAAACCAAAAATTCCTAAGATCAGGTATGTTTCCTGAATTTGGAGTGCTTTGAATTTTAGAAGGGTTTCCCTTTACATATATAGCAATGGTTCTCAACCTGTGGGTCACGACCCCTTGGGTCTCAGGACCCTTTCATTGGAGTCGCCTAAGACCATCGGATAACACAGATATTCACATTACGATTCCTAAGACTAGGAAAATTACAGTTAGGAAGTAGCGACGAAAATAATTTTATGGTTTGGGGGGGTCACCACAACATGAGGGGTATTAAGGGGTCACAGCATCAGGAAGGTTGAGAATCACTGGTAGATCGTATATCTCCTAACACCCTCGGTTTGATGTGGGTATTAAAACTTAATTACTTCAAGAAACGGTGTAAATGTTCACAATAAGTGAGATGAAGAAAGATTGAAAATTGTTCCTGATTAGGTCAGGTCAGGTCAGGTTCTGTAGTCAAATGGGATGGAGGGTATGAGCCGGGTTTCCAGAGTGGGAGGCTCTGGTTAGAAAGGACAGTTCAGTGTGAAATAGAGGCCATGTGTGCTGCAAAATCTGAGTGAGAAGAGGGCCTGCTGATCACCTGGTAAAGAGTAGTGATATCAATAATCTGCTTAGAGCCCAGGGAGCCTTACAGGCTTACTCTGTGCCCTGCAATTCCAGGGAAGTCTTCAGCCTTCATGCTGGCTCTCCGCTTTCTGGTTCTGAGAAGAGAGGCTGAGTCAGCTTCAGGTAAAGAACGGAGAAAGCACACATTTTTGCTGAGAGCTGGACAAGGTAAGGGAATGGTTCTTGGAGTACAATTTTGGGTAAGAAAGTTGACATTTTGCACTGTGTTCCTGAGCAATTAATTTCTCCTGGCCACCTTAGTATCTAACACATGTGCCTGGTTACCTAAAAATCAGGACATGCCCCCACACAATGTGTTCTGGACATTTGTTTTTTGGGTTTTTGTTTTTTGTTGTTTTTGCTTTGTTTTGTTTTTCTTTTTTTAATATTTTATGGTTTATTTAACTTTTTATTTTATGTGCATTGGTGTGAAGGTGTCAGACCCCCTGCAACTGGATCTTCAGACAGTTGTGAGCTGCCATGTGGGTGCTGGGAATTGAACCCGGGTCCTCTGGAAGAGCAGTCAGTGCTCTTAACCACTGAGCCATCTCTCTAGCCCCTGTTTTGTTTTTCGAGACAGGGTTTCTCTATAGCTTTTGAGCCTTTCCTGAAACTAGCTCTTGTAGACCAGGCTGGCCTTGAACTCACAGAGATCCCCTGCCTCTGCCTCTGAGTGCTGGGATTAAAGGCGTGCACCACTGTTATACTCATCTCAAGTATAAAGAAACCATTGGAAGGCCCGAATTCTACCTAAGGCCCTGCTTGCTCCCCCAAACATAGGTTCCCTTCCAAATTAAGGGGATCCCTTTACAATTGCCATTGTTGAAGGAGTGACTGAGTAATGGAAAGGTTGAAACTTTTTTCTCAGTGTTGAATGCATGCATTCAAGGGATGATAAATACCTGAACTTGTAGAACATGGCAAATTTAGCTGCCTCTGGCCTTTCTTCTTGCCGTTCCCATTACTAAGAGATGCCCTTCCCCCAGCTTTTCATTCTCTTGGCTTCTGGTTTTTCAGGTTCCACTTCAAAGGTTATGTCTTCAGCAGCCCATGCCAGCAGCCCACCACCATCTCCCACAATATAACCCCTCCTTTTCTTTATCTTTCCTTTTGTTTGTTCTTTGAAGCAGTCTCACTGTGTAGCCCAAGATGGCTTAGAACTTGAAATCCTTTTTCCACTCAGTGGGAGCCTCTTGTGCCACTCAGCTGCCCACAAGGAGGAATTACAGGTGTACACAATCTCCAGCCATAACCCCCTTTTTATTAGCACTTCTTTTAGAAGCTATCTTTTTATGTTTTTTTTTTTTTTTTGCATTTTCGAGACAGGATTTCTCTGTGGCTTTTTATTTTAATTTTATGTGCATCGGTGTTTGTCAACAGGAAGCGGGAGGTCACAGACAGTTCTGAGCTGCCATGTGAGTGCTGGGAATTAAACCTGGGTCCTCTGGAAGAACAGTCAATGCTCTTAACCACTGAGCCATCTCTCCAGCCCTTCTCTGTGGCTTTTTTTTAGCCTGTCCTGAAACTAGCTCTTGTAGACCAGGCTGGCCTCGAACTCAGAAAGATCCGCCTGCCTCTGCCTCCCGAGTGCTGGCTCGGCTTTCTTTCATGTATTCTTGTCATTCTTGACTGATATCAGTCTACTTTTGCCGTGCTAACAACACGATGGAGTTCCCTGGTATCATCATAGAACTCTCTAGAGCAGGTATATAGTTGATGTTCAGTTGGTATTTGTCAAATATGGGTGAGATTAAGATGAAAGGTTTCCAAACCAAGCCTTGACTAATCTTGCTTTGAGCTCTCCCCTTCAATCTCTTTGCACTCTCTGGGCCTCATGTCCCCCCTTTGTGACAAGATCTATCAGTGTTGTTGGGTAGGTGTGTAACTAGATGAAAATAAATACTCCATTAAAGCTAGTAGCAGGGATGAAACTAAACTAAGGAAATGGTGACTGGGGTTACTATATTAGTCCCCTGGGTGTGACTGTTTAAGAATTGTATACTAGAACCTTTTTCCTGACTTCTGGGGAGCCATACTCCCTCTGAACTCTGAGTCATAAGTAGCTGGAAATCACCCCCACACACACCCCCACAATGTTCACAGCACTACCACTTCCAAGTGTTCAGTTCTTTATACCCCAGCTGCCAGCTGTCCCTGTTGGGTTTTGCAGTCTGCCCCACCCCAGCCCCAGTGCTACCTGAGACTCCGGTTCTGGCATTTTGCTCCCCTCCCTGCATCCTCGTTATGGGAGCGAAAGTTGCCTGTTTGGACCACAACTTCCCTCTTTGGGGGATGGGACTGGGTGTTCAGGATGTGGTTAACAGCAAAGGTGACTGGACATTTGTAGCATTGGCTAGAGCCTGCTTTGTGGCTACCCGGGGTTGTCTATATAAGCCTTTTGACAGTAGGACTCAACTCCCAGGGTGGAGGAAACTCTAGTCTCTTCCCCAGACCAGGATCACCCGCCCAGTGCAGTTTACCACCTTCTAAGGAAAAGGGAAGGCGTGATCCAAAGACTTCTAACAGCCCTTTTTAGCCTGGTGCACCAGGGCACTGACTCACACCTTCCCCGTTCTGTTCCTAAGTGGGGCTCGGGGGCCACAGCCCGCGCCCCTAGGGTAGCAGTCTGCATGCCAGTTAAAGTTAGTTTTTTCAAGCCGGAAGTAGGAGACCTCAGTCTCTGGGTGGAGGAAGGCGCCAGGTTTCTAGATTTGCTATCTTGATGACGGCTGAGGGTCTGAAGGATTCCATGCGGGAACCCTGAGCCTCCTGGGGCACGCCCACAACTGGCCCACTTTCTGCATTCCCCACGACACAAGCAATAATGTGCGAACTCCAAGCGTGAAATAAATGAATAGGAAGAACTGCGGGGGCTAACAAAGCAAAGCAAACTGGGGAGCAAGCAGAAATAATGATCCATCTGGAGGCATGAAGGAAGACACAGCTTTCGGGTGGTTTCAAAAGGCCTTCATCGAAACCAGATCAACCCACCCCTCCCTTCCAGGGTGGACTGGGAATCCTCACCCCGCCTAGAGCACCTGGCAAGTCAGGACTGGATCCAGCTATTTTATTACCTCCCGACTGGGAAGGAACTAGGAGAATCCTAGGCGCGCGGGGGTGGGGGGGTGGGGGTGCGAGCTTTCTGGGCTCCGGGAGGGAGGGCCGTGTCACTGACATCATGAAGGGGTGGGGACCAGTCCCCTGAGCAGTGAGCAATGGGGAGGGTACTAGACCAGGTTAAAGCTTAAGGGAAAAGCTAGTGCCTGGCCGTCAGGCATGCTAAAACCAGGTAGATCTTCACTAAGTGAACACAAAGCTGTCTGTTGGTGCTCAGTGCCTCCGCCTTCCAGCTGCCATCTCTTGAGCGAGCTGCGCGCCCCCGCCCCGAACCCCTAGAGCCTGTGAGAGACGGTCCTCACTCGGCACTAGCCAGGGCCCAGGGGTACCAGGGATACGGTCGTCCAAGTCTTCTGTGGGGTGCTCCACTGAGGGAACCACGTGGGCAAAAGCCACTGCCTCTGGACTAGGTTCCAAACTGGGCCGAGTCTTGGACGGGTGATGAACTGGGGAAATGGTGCTGCGGGACTTCGTCATCCTGCTTCCCCTAGGATCTGGGCTGCAATCTGGAGAGAGCAATCCTGAGGGTTAGACTGGGTGGTGCAGTGAGGGAATGGAAATTGGGGCCTTGATTAAGAGTGGCCAGAAAAGCCTCAGAGAAAGTTCTCTTCAAGGCCTAGAAGTGCCTCTCCCTCACAAACCTCCAGCCTTACCCGCTCCAGATATACTTCTTCAGTCTAGGACAGAAATAATTGCTCAAAGGAAGCTTTCCTACTTGAGACTTGTGAATCTTCCCCTCTCACTCCTTCTCCCTTGGTTCCCTACCCTTTCACCTACTGATCAGTGCTTAAGCATTTTTGGGCGGTGGGGAGGGGAGTTCACGTATGGAGGTCAGAAACCAACTTGAGTGGATCAGGTCTCTCCTCCGGCTGTGTGGGTCCCAAGGATCGAACTCATGTCGTCAGACTTGGTGGGGAAAACACGTTTATCTGGGAGCTGGCTTGCCAGCCCCCTTTCCTCTCTAAAAGGGAGTATCTGGGAGATGGAATCCACGTGGCTTCTCAGATGGCTAGGCAAACACTGCACCACTGAACCGCATCTCAGACATCAGAGTCCTCTGTCTCTATAGCCTTCCTCCATCTTCCTAAGACTTTCCTTCTTAAAAAATAAAAGCCTTTACTCCAGACCCTCCCCTCCTAAGACCTTAAAAGCATTCTCTGAAGTTCCTACCCTGAGGTAAGTCTCAGATTTTGTGAATTCCCCACCCCACCTTGGCACTGGATCTCTAAATCCCCACTGAGACCACCAAACCCTTTCTACGCAGGATTCAGCCTTTCCCCTCTCTGAGCTTCTCCTTCCCCTCTCTGATCCCCGCCTCTCTCTCCTGGGAATCTCAGCACCTCACCTCTCTTTTGATGGCCAGCAACCTCCTCAATCCTACTGATGTCCATCTCTTGAGGCCTGCGGAGGATTCCCAGGCAAAGTCGGGGGCCTCCAGTGCGTATCCGCTCCACCACCTGGGCATGAGTTAGGCCCTGTGTTGACTCTCCATTAATATTGAGCACGAGATCACCAACCTGCAAGAACACAGTGGCATATGAAAGGCAGACGAAGAACACTTGGCAAGGACAGGGACCATATCTCTGAATGTACTGCTGCTTAGAACTAACCTGCAAACGACCACATCGCTTTGCTGGCCCATCCTTCAGCAGTCCATGCACGGCCAGTGGAGCATCCCCAGATACACCTCGTCCCCCTTTTAAAGTGAAACCAAAGCCTGCAGGGCCTCGGAGCAGCTCCACGGAAAATCGACCAGTGGCTTGTGGTAATTTCAAAGCATAGCTTGCTTTATTCTGGGTTACTGGAGGTTGCTCCATACATGTCACCAGAGTCTCAGACCTTCGATGCTGGAATAAGGGCAAGAGTATACATGAATTAGCAGGGTGAATATCTTTGTTAGAGTTACTATTGCTATGATGAAACACCATGACCAAAGCAAGCTGGGGAGGAAAGGGTTTATTAGGCTTACACTTCCACATCACAGCTCATCATCAAAAGAAGTCAGGACAGGACCTCAAACAGGGAAGGAACCTGGAGGCCAGAGCTGATGCAGAGGCCATTGGGGGATGTTGCTTACTGGTTTGCTTCCTGTGGCTTGCTCAACTTGCTTTCTTATAGGACCCAGGACCGACAGCTCAGGGATGCCACCACCCACGATGGGCTGGGCCCTCTCCTATTAATCACTAATTAAGAAAATGCCTTACAGCCAGATCTTATGGATGCTTTTTCCTCAAATGAAGTTCCCTCCTTTCAGATAACTCTAGTTTGTGCCAAGTTGACATAAGACAGTATAAAAAGTAAATGCCTATAATCCTAGCACTGGAGAGTCTGAGGCCAAGGGATCACCTTGAATTTGAGGACAGCCTAGTCTAGCTATCAAGCTCCAAGCCATCCTGGACTACAGAGGATGCCCTGTCTGAAGGCCAGCCAAAGCAAAGGGTTAGCACTGAGCATAGCATTGAGGAGGAGTAGTACCTGGGATCGACGTCCCACAAGAGTGGCATGAGGCAAACGGCTGTCAGTGACTTCTATATCTGCAGAATCCAGGCTGCTAACAGCTGAGATACAAAAGCAGCGACAAAGAGGGATATCAAAAGATGTTGACATGGAAACAACCTAGGACCCCTAGGTTAACTTTATAAAAAATTATTTTTACTAGGGGCTGGAAAGATGGTTCAATGGTTAAGAGTACTGGTTGTCCTTTCAGAGAACCCAGATTCAATCTGCAGAACCCACGAGGTGGCTCATAACCGCCTGCTGACTCCAGTTTAAGAGGGTCTAATGCCCTCTTCTGGCCTCCATAGGCACCAGGCATGCATTTGGTACACAGACATACATGCAGGCAAAATACTTGCACACATAAAATTAAAACATTAAAAATTGTTTTTACTTTATTTTGTGTGTACGGGTGTTTTGCTTGCGTGTATGTTTGTGCGCCGCATGTGTACCTGGTATCAAATCCTCTGGAACTGGAATTACATCATAAGCCACCATGTGTGTGTGATGGGAATAGAACCTGGTTCATCTGTAAGAGCAACCAGTAGAGGGGGGAGGGGGAGAAGATTGGGGGGAGGGGGAGGGAAATGGGAGGCTGGGAGGAGGCGGAAACTTTTTTTTCTCATTCTCAATTAAAAAAAAAAGGAAAAAAAATAAAAAATACAAAAAAAAAAAAGAGCAACCAGTACCCTTTTTTTCCCTCTGTATAACAGTCCTGGCTGTCCTGGAACTTGCTTTGTAGACCAGGCTAGCCTCAAACTCACATAAATCCGCCTGCCTTGGCCTCCCAAGGGCTGGGATTAAAGGTGTGCACCACCTGTCTTAAAGTAATCCTGTGCCGTCCATTTGAATACTCCATACCTTCTTCCCAGATGTTAATAACACATGGGCTACATGCATTAGATAGCACCCTAAGTGGCTGGGGTGGTATCAGGACTTCCTAACATGTGGCACATCCTGAGTTTGGCCCTAGCACCTAAAGAGTTAAATAGATAAACTATTTTTTTAAAAAATATTTATTTATTTATTATGTATACAATATTCTGTCTGTGTGTATGCCTGCAGGCCAGAAGAGGGCACCAGACCTCATTATAGATGGTTGTGAGCCACCATGTGGTTGCTGGGAATTGAACTCAGGACCCTTGGAAGAGCAGCCAGTGCTCTTAACCTCTGAGCCATCTCTCCAGCCCCTAGAACAAACTATTTTTAAAAAAACAACCTACTCAGGCCTTTGGGAAGGTTACCATTCCAGGATTAGGTTCCCAAAAATCTAGACAACCTCTAATTAGCCTACAAAACTTATTTCAATTCTCACATTTCAAGATCTGCCTGCAGCAAACTATAATCCCAGCATTCTAGAAGCAGAGGCAGAGGCAGGAGTGTCGGATTGGAGGCCGATGTGGCCCCTAGCGTGAGACCTTGTCTCATGAAACAAAACAGGGACTGGAGAGATGGTTCAGCAGTTGAGTGCCCACTACTCCTGCAGAAGACCAGAGTTCAATTCCCAGCAGCTCACACCTGCCCGTAACTGCAGCTCCAGGTAGATCTGGTACAGTCACATGTATATACCTGCACACACACAATTTAAACATAAATAAACCAGGAATGGTGGTGCACACCTTTAATCCCAACACTCAGGAGACAGAGGCCAGCAAATCTCTGAGCTCTAGGCCAGCCTGGTCTATGTGGTGAATTCTGGGACAGCCAGGGCTACATAGAGAGATGCTGTCTATAAAATAAAAGGAAATAAAACTTAAATCATTAAACACACACAAGAAACCAAGCAAACAAAAATCTCCCTCTAATATGCCCAGCGCTTCCTTCCACTGGTTTCTGGAATTTAGGCTCACCCCTTTGTAGAACTCATCTCCTCTCCCTAAGTGCCACCTCCTTGGAAATGACATTTTGGACAATTTCACACATGTATAAAATGTATTAAAATCATCCTTATTTCTATTATGCCCTCTTAACCCTCTCCACTCCTGCTAACTCCCTTCTTCCCAATCGCCCCCTCCCCCACCCCGGTTTTTGTTTGTGTTGCAGGTAGCTACAGCTACTGAATGTTCAAGATTGCCAATGCCAAGTCGAAGTCTCGCTGACCTTAATAATTACCCAGCCCAGCACTTTCCACAAATATTCTGAAACTCATCTATCGCAATAACCCCGAAGGAATACACTCCAGTCCCACGAGGTGTCATTCCCTCCTAACCCCTCCCTGAGGAATCACACCCCTTGACAGTTCTCGGCCTTCCGGCAGGAAAGCCAACCCCTTCGGCCCCGCCCTACGGAGTCCTTGCACCTACCCTCCTTGTGGCGCAGGCGCAGTGTGGTACCCGCCTTTCGTACCAACGCTGACAAGTCCGCTGCAGCTCTGGCCGCCAGGGGGCGCGCGTCCAGACGCTCCAGGAGCTGTCGAGCACGGGGGCCCCCAGACCCAGGTAGGCCACCTCCTGACCGGAGAAGTAGACAAATCATCATGGTCCCAGAGCCGTGGAGCCCCGACCTGAGTAATTCCTAAGTCCAAAGACCTAGAAATGTCCCTCCAGATATTTGGAAATCCCCATCCACTCCTGTAGTTCCAGAGATCGCCGCCAGTCCCCTCCTCTCCTATGACCCCCGACTGCTACAACAGTATACGCTGCCGGCTGTGTTGCCCCATAAAGTCCCTGGAGATAACCATTTGATAGCGATAGACCCGGATACCTTGGAGCAATCAACACATTTCTTTGGCGCTCACCATACTGTCCCTTAGTAACACTAGATACCAAACTTCTCTGGCCGTGACTCTGGGGACCCTGATTCTCCCACATAAGCCTCTCCCAGCGAGCAACTCTGAAGGCCCCAATTTCACCTCCAGTATACTAGGCAATCCCTCCTACACCCAGGAGTTCCCCTAAAAGACCAGTGTCCCCTCAGGGCGCAAGCATCTCCAGATAGCCCCTCCACAGATCCCCAGCCCACCCTCCTAATCCCCTACAGACTGCCTGCCCTGGCTCAGCAGGTGCCTCCAGGTTCCTGTTGCCAGACTCCTGAGCTAGGTCTCTGGAGTCTGATGTGTCCCTCCACCATACACACACACCCCTGAGTCTGTAGGGTAAGAGACCTGAAACACAGTTCCCATCGCTGGGCCCCTTGTTGCTGCCAGGACAGCCTGGGCAGCAAGGCTGATGTTTACCACTTGTGGGGTGAAATAGTTAGGAGCCAACAGGCAAGGAGAGGGTGGCCGGGAACGGCTCCTTCCCTTTCTCTCTACTCCGCCCACGCCAGTACCTCCTCTGCTCCCTCTAGGGTCTGCGGTGTTTCCAGCGCGGGAGTCCATGGCCTGTGGTGCGCCTGCTGGACTCGGGGCAGCCTGGTGATTAGTTCTTAGCACAGGGGCGAGCTCAGTTGGCTCCTAGCCCAGGCCTGGACGTCGCTGTTGTCTGGCCAGTCCCAGGCCTGGCGCCGGGACTGCGAGGTGACCTACCTGGCCGCAGGCAAGGAGGCCTGGTTGAGGGAGCCTGTAAAGTCAGAGTTTAGCCTTTCTCTGCCCCAGGCGCTGCTGCTTTTCTTAACTGGAGACTGGTTAAAACTGAAAAGCCTGCGTGTACCAATTGTTAAACAAGATATGCAGGAAATGGAACTTAAATAAACTGCTGGTATAAAAAGTATAAAAAGGTACACTAACTTTAGAAAAGAGTGTGTAAACATTTTCAAAATTAACAATAAACCATCAGAAAGAAAACTAATTAAACATACACATACGAGCCATGTATTCCATTCCGGAGTACTTATCTAAAGGGTTGCACACTTTCCATAAAGACGTGAGGATGAGTATTTATGAAACCTTTGTTTCTTGTCACCTTCTCCTCGGGCAACCATAACAAAATATTGCAGAGTGGATGACTGAAACACTTTATTTCCTCTTCTTCTGGAAACTGGAAAATGAAATATCAGGGATCTGACCAATTTGATCCTGGATGTATGGCTTGTTATTTTCTTCGTTTGAAAGTAACTGCTTGCCAGGAAGCAGTGGTGCACACCTTTAATCTCAGCACTCAGAAGGCAAAGGCAGGCAGCTCTCTGAGTTCGAGGCCAGCCTGGTCTACAAATCAAGTTCTAGGACAGCCAGCGCTACACAGAGAGAAACCCATCTCAAAAACAAAACAAAAAATAACAAAAAACAAAAAGTCATAGGGATGTAATGAAACATGCCCTTTAGCCCAGCACTAGGGGGAGCAGAAACAGGCAGATCTCTGTGAGTTCAAGGCCAGCCTGGTGTAAGTAAGGAGCTCCGGGCCAGCCAAAAGTACGTGGTGAGACCCTGTCTCAAACAACAACAAAGATTTAATTGTCGGGTGGGATGGTGTAGTCCTGAATCACGTGTATTTGGGAAGCCAGCAGGAGCATCAGGAGTCCAGGGTTATTTGTTTACTCAGCTTGTTGGCAGAGAGTCAGGAATATAGAAGACTTTATCAAAAGATGTGGTTGAAGCTAGGGGATGGAGCAGAGAGCAGAGTGCTTGTCTAGCGTAAATAGTGCACTGAATACTGCCATCCCCAGTTCTTTCTCTCTCTCTCTCTCTCTCTCTCTCTCTCTCTCTCTCTCTCTCTCACACACACACACACACACACACACACACACACATAGGTAGAAAGATAGGTAGATAGATAGATAGATAGATAACAGTGAAAGGCAACTCAACTCAGCAACATAAAAGAATTAATAATCTGAACTCAAATGATTATGGTATGGACTGGAAGTATAACTCAGTAGTAGGGTACATGCTTAGCTTGAGGTCCCGGGTTAAGAAATTTACCAAAATAACTATAGTATGCAAAAGGACACAAACATATCTGTGAAGAGTACGTGGTATATGACCTCAGTTATATAAAAATCTAGTAAAAGGCAAACTGATGTACAGTGACAAAAAGTGGGCCAGAGACTGCCAGGAGAAGGGACCAGGGTCAGGAAGGAGGCATTAGAGAGACTGTGTTTGGTATTATGATCACAATAATATCTTCATGGTTATTAGCATACTGTATTCAAAACCTATCAAGCCTATGAAACCAAACATGGTGGTAGTGGTGATTGCCTATAATCTATAGCACTTGGGAGGCTGAAGCAGGAGAATCATGAGTTCAAGACCAGCCTGTGTTACATAGAGAGAGACTCTGTTTCAGAAAAAATAGTGTTTAGGACTAGAAAGATGCTTCAGTAGTTAAGAGTACTTGTTGTTCTTCCAGAGGACCAGGTTCAATCCCCAGTACCCACATGATGGCTCACAACTGTTTGACTCCAGTTCCAGGAGATTTAGCACCCCATTCTGGCCTCTTCAGCATCAGGTACACATGTGGTACACATACATACTACAGGCAAAATATCCATACACATAACAATTTTTAATTTTTTATGATTTATTTATTCCATGTGGATTCATATTCTGACTGTCTGTATGTCTGTGTGCGGGTATCAGATCCCCTGGAACTGGAGTTACAGGCAGTTATAAGCTGCCATGTAGATGCTGGGAATTCAACTGGGTCTCTGAAAGAGTAGTTAGTGCTCTTAACCACTGAGCCATCTCCCCGGCTCCCTCAACGTTTGCTGTGTCTTGTATACTGATTCCTTTCCATTGTCCTCTGACCTCCACACATATACAAACTCGAATGAAATGTAGTAAAAAAAAAATTAACCCCTCTCTCTACTAACAGTTGTACAATTTTAAATTCACGGAGGGGGGCACGTGTATACAAGACACAGCAAGCGTGAGTTCAGAAGAAAACTGTGAGAATCGGCTTTTTCCCACCAAACTCAGGTTGTCAGACTGATCACCGAAAGCCATTATCTGCTGAGGCAGCTCACTAGTCCAGCCTTTGCTATTCCTTGGAAGAGCATGGTCTCACAGGCCCCTCTCTCTAGCAACTAGCAACCATAAATCCTGGAGAACTGGCATGGCCTCATGAACCCTCTTCAGCAGTAATTGTTAATGTCAACTGGTTCATAGTTTATCAGGGCAACGAGACCGCCGAGATGGCTTAGACGGTAAAGGTACTTTCTGCCGAGGCTAAGGTTTGACTTCTGGGACCCACATAATGGAAGGAGAAAAGCAGCTTCCTAGGGTATCTTCTGAAGTCCACGCAGTGCAGTGGCACATGTGTGCAAAACAATAAATGTAATAAGGTTTTTTTTTTTTTCGAGACAGGGTTTCTCTGTGTGGCCCTGGCTGTCCTGGAACTTGCTCTGTAGACCAGGCTGGCCTCGAACTCAGAGATCTGGTAAAGGTAGGCGCCACCACCGTCTGACTTTGAAATAAGTTTTTAAAGAGGGCGACAGGCTTGTCATACCCAAGGACAGGGTTCCACAGCAACCTCCTCCCTTGCTGATAGATTCAAGTGATACAATCTTCACTCCTTGGTCATTCCTTGACCTTGTCTCCTGAATCTCAGGGTTTTTGGCATCATCTTGCCCAGGGAGTCCTCATCTAGCATCCTGGGCCCCTTGTGTAGTAATTCATCTCTGAGGATGGCCTTGGAGCTGCCCGTTTCTTCTCAAGTACCCCTGCCTGAACATCTCCTAGTCAGGACGTAGTTCTCCATTCCCAAACCCTTGAACCGTGCATCTAATTGGCATGCCCCTAAGGTGCTCACCACTCTCTTCACTGCCCAGCCCTTGGACAATGCCCTAACCTGCAAGGCTCTCACATCCATGGAGCTAAAAGGATTCAAGCCTCCGTTCCTTTGATTAAAAGCACCCTGCTACCCATCCACAGGCTTCTTAATGCTCAAGCCCCCTGGCGGGAAGCTCTGTACGTCATCTAGAGGTGAACATCTCAGCCAAAGCTGAGCATAGGGACTGGAGAGATGGCTCAGAGGTTAAGAGCACTTGCTGCTCTTGCAGAGGACACATATTGGACTGTAACTCCAGTTCCAAAGGATCTGACACTCTCTTCTGGACTCTGCAAACACAAACAAGTGACATATATACATAAATACACATAAATAAAAGTGAAGATTTTTTTACAATATAGGCAAAGCCAGGTATAGTGGCATGCACCTGTAATCCCGGCATGCACCTGTAATCCCAGCATACAGGAGGCTGTCAGAGGATTGCCGCCAGCTCAAGGCAAGCCTGAGCTACAGAGGAAAGCCTTGTAAAAGAAAAGGGAAAAAAATACCGAGAAGAGTAGCAGTTCCACTGTGTGTTCCTTCACACAAGGTCAGGCCAAAAATGCAGGTCAAGGGATTGCAAGAGCAAGAGCAGGGACTGTCCAAGCCCTTGTCACCTGTCAACACCTGGACTCTGACAGCTCAACCAGAGAGGTTGTTTGGCCAGCTAGTATACACGGTAGGCACAACGTGTTCATGCCACATAATGAAATAGTCATCGACCTGTGGGTATAAGCTTATGGAGACCGGCATGGTCCGTTGGCACTGGTGCCCTGAGCAGGTCTATAAGCCTCTGAAATTCCCAGTCTCTTCTGTAAAGTGCTGGCCCCTGAGTGCTGGCTTACTGCGGTTCCGTTATTCCTTCTCCAACAGTCTCACTGTGCCCAAGTACACCTTCCAAGTTCCCAAATATGTGTTTGACAAAGTAAGAGGGGACCGTGTTCCTCCACTGGTGTTGTCTCATCCCACTTCTATGTTCTCAGAGCTTCCAGGTCACCCCCATCACTTTATTCTTCGGGGGACCTGCCCTACTTCCTTCTTTCTATATTTTTATAATTCATTTATAATTATTTTATGTCCATTGGTGCTTTGCCTGCAGGTATGTTCATGTGAGGACCAGATCCCGTAGGGTGGAGTTATAGACAGTTGTGAGCTGCCTTGTGGGTGCTAGGCATAGAACCCAGGTCCTTTGGAAGAGCAGCCAGTGCTCTTAACCTCCATCCCCCTACTTACTTTTTAATCCTCTAGCCCCACAATGTTCAGGACCCCCAAACATCCTGTGGCCTCTAAAACTCCAAGGGTACTCCTCACCCCAACTCTACCATATTATTCCAATTCCTGAATAGAGACCATGTTAAGCAAACTTTTACTGAGTGCCTACTATATGCAAAAATCTGATGGAATGTTACAGAATGTCCTGATAAAATGTGGCCTCCAATTTTGCATGCCAATTTTTGGTTCTCAAAGATCAGAAAGTGCTCTGACTTCTCTGTATCTCAGTTTTTGCCTCCTGTGCCTGGAATAACAGCATCTCAAGAGGGGAAAGAGGAGTCTGATCAAGGCTTCTCAGTTAGTGGGGGTTAACACCTAAGGCCAAATGAGTCCCAGTTGATGTAAAAGCAAGAGGATTTAATTAATTCTGTCATGACAGGGTCTTTCAGCATTCGAAAAGCCAGAAAGACCCCCGAATAGCTGGCAAGGCTACTTTTAAAGTAAAAAGCCACAGAAACAAGGGGTGAGTTTGGGGGTTGTTTTTCCAACTATTAGGATTGACTGATT